TTTTTTCCTCTTACCAGTAAACTCTCTATTAATAAATTATTGGTAGATTGAATTTTCTATGTAGAAAAACATTTTCCACAAATAATGACATTTTAGTTTCATCCTTTTCAATACATTTTCTTAAAAGATTTTATTTATTTACTTTTAGAGAGGGGAAGGGAGGGAGAAAGAGAGGGTGAGAAACATCAATGTGTAAGAGATGTACCAATCAGTTGCCTCTTGAATATACCCAACTGGGGACCTGGCCCACAACCCAGGCATGTGCCCTGCCTGGGAATTGAACCAGTGACCTTTTGTTTCACAGGCCAGCATTCAATTCACAGAGCCACACCAGCCAGGGCTCAATACATTTTTTATTTTACCATGCTGGTTAAGAAATCTAGTACAACCTAGCTGGCTGGCGTAGCTCAGTGGATGGCATAGCTCAGTGGATTGAGTGTGGGCTGTGAACCAAAGCATCGCAGGTTTGATTCCCAGACAGGGCACATGCCTGGGTTGCAGGCTATGGCCCCCAGCGACCACACATTGATGTTTCTCTCTCTCTTTCACCCTCCCTTCCCTCTCTAAAAATAAATAAATAAAATCTTAAAACAAAGGAGCAATAATTATATAAAAAAAAGAAATCTAGTACATATTTAATACTTTTGATAGTAGGCATCATAGTTTCACTCCATCTCTTAAAGAGTTTAGCTTTCCACCTTGGGTATAATACGTGCTGCAGGTTTTATGGAGCTACCATTTATTGGATTAAGGAAGTTCTCTTCTATTCCTAAATATTCTAAGAGGTTTTCTTTTTTTCTAAATGGATTCTAAATTTTATAAAATGTCTTTCGTGCATCTGTTGAGATGATCAAGTGATTTTTCTCCTTTCATCTATTGTGACAGATTACATTAATTTTCCATTTTCCATTTCTGAACTACCCATAGTTTAGCCATAAAACATTACCTTTTATTTTTTATGTATTATTAGGTTTGTGTGTGTGTATTTGTGTGTGTGTTTAATGCTAGTCTCATAAAAAGAGCTGAAGAATGTTTCTTTTTTTTCTATTCTCTAAGAGACTCTGCATAAAATTGGATTTTTTTTTCTTTCTAGCAATCTTTGGTAGAGCTTGCCAGCAAAGCCATTTTAAACAACTTGAAGTTTCTTCGTCATATTTCAATCACTGGTTGTTTTAAATCATCAGCTATTCAAGTTCCCTATTCATCTACAATATTTTCATCTTATTTCTTACTGTCTAGTCTACATAATCTATAGTAATATCCCTTTTTATTTCTATTGTTCCTGTCTTCCTCCTTTTTTGTATCCCTCTCCCTAGGAGGCAGCGGTAACTCAGAGCCCCAGGCTCCTGCACCGCGCAAGCCTCCAGGCCGCACCTCAGCCCTTTTGGATCAGATGTTTCCACACAGATAATTAGCAAGCCTGTGACCTGAGTATGTTGCTTGGGGACCATTAGAATGGGTCTTCTCCTTCATCCTCTACATCAGATGGTGCCTATGAGATAGGTACCATAATTACCATAGTTCAGTAAATAGTAAAGCCCAAATTCCACCATGCCTATTCTCTTCCTTTCTTTCTCTTTTAAACCGTTTTCAACTCTGCCTTTTACTTGCTGAAGTGTCATGTGTGGCAAGTTACATTTGAGTCTCAGTTTTCTCACATGAAATGGTTTTTATGTAATCTTCCAATTTGACTATGCATACACAAATAGGGGCTCAGACTATACCCAGCAACTTGTTTTTATCGTATCTTAATCTTCCCATATCAGTGCTCTCATTCTTAATGGCTCTTCATTGGTTGCATGGTGTTCATAGTAGATCCCCTTATTTGTTGAATGAATGTGAAAATCAGCCAAGACCCACAAGGCACCTTTCCTTGTAGAGCTGATACAATGCCTTCCTGGCCAACCACACCTTCACTGGACTCCCATCTTTTGACTGTCTTCCCTTATTCCAAACCTAGAGTGGGGAGCAAGGGAGCAGGGAACCAGTGGCTTCACAGAATTTGGTCACATGTTCAGCAAACGTGAGAAGCATCTTACTGTCTTACTCACTGCTAACCAGGAATGCCTGAGGTCTTCCCCCAGTCTTGTCTAGGCAGCCCTTGGTGAAAGGCTCTGATCAAAAGATTCTTATTCACAACACAATACTGATTATTTTGAAGAATTCACACCCTGTTCTCTCCACTAGAAAAGGCCACAGTCAGACACAGGCAGCAAGCCTCACTTGTTGAAAGAAGTAAAGCTCAGTATCAGAAACAGAACCTCTGAGTTACATCATCTTATTCCTCTCCTCTGTCTCCTGGCTGCAGCTACTAAACTTGAGGTAAGAGTGCCACTTACTGTCACGTTCATTACATTGCAATTTGAAACTACTTCAGTCTTTAATTGAGTGCCACAAGCAAAACACAAAAGACTTAGCAGGAAGAATAGTTGAACTTTGATCCTTTACTAAGTACCAGAGATTATGCTAAGTGCTTTGTAGCCACAAAACCACAAAACTGACCCGTAGTTTCATCAAATGATGATATGTAGTTATCTCCTTAAAATACCCACAGAAGACGTAAATGCCCTAACATGTCCAAAGAGAGTTCATATTTCCACATACAAATCTCTGCCTCCCTCAGCCCACTATCACATAGTATCCGAGAGTATGGACTTCATAGGTCAAAATACTGGATTCCACTCTCGACTACACTACTTATTATGACTTATTAACTGTATGGCGCAGTAGAGAGGTGGTAAAGTATGGAGGCTGACTGTGTTGACTTTGAACCTAGAACTTTTCAATCCTGGCTCTGCCACTCAGTCTTGGTGACCTTGGGTAAATTACTTAACTTCTCAAAGCCACTGCTTCCTCATCTGTAGTATCAGTGTACAAATTATACTGATTTCATTGGGTTGTTGTGAGGACAAAATGACTGTGTGCATTAAGTGATCAGAACAGTGTCAACAAAGCCCTATACAAATTTGCTACTGATTTCCCATCAGATTTAGCATAAAGCAAGCTCCTTCTTTGGCCTTTTAAATCCTGTAATCTGCCCTCCATCTGCTTCTCTAAGTCTAACCTCCTCCCTATGCTGTGGCCACAACAGCCTTTCTCATCCAAATCAGGTCAAGTTTTTATTTCCTCATGACACCCTTGAACTTGCTGTTTCCAGTGACCTCAACACCTAGCACAGACCTTTTCTGAAGTACCACACAGTACAGTTGAAGTTGCCCTCCAAAGCCCTTAACAAATGTGGACAAGTAAACGTAACTTAAAAAGAAAGTGAACGAGGCATTCTGAGCAGGCAATAGGGATATAATTGGAAGCAAGAGTCTTTGGAATGTTACTCGTGATAGTTGGGTGGTTAAGGTGTGAACTTAACACCTTCAAAAATTAACTCATTTTTCTTGTACATCTTTCTTCCATTTTCCTCCCCACTCTCCAAACCCCCAGCAACTAAACTAGTGTCAAGCATAGGAAGACAATACTAACTACATGAATACAATGAATACATGAAAGAATGGGGGGGGGGGAATCACACACAATAAATTAGTACAATCTGTTTATATGTTTATATGAAAAACTTACTTAATGTGCTTAATTTGTAGTAGATTATCTGCAGTACAGCCAGCTCAGCATCTCCCTTCCCCTGCGAGGTGGACACCTACTCCCATGCAGACAATTTGGGGACTGTCAAATTCTTACAGGACTCACCTGATCGGTCCAGCTGGCACCAGGAATGCCACCCAATTCCTCCATCCAGGCTGGTTAATTAGCCTTTCACTTTTTCTTTGTTTCTTTTTTTCTAATTTGAAAGACAACACCCAGAGAGCAGTGCAGAAAGACTTAACCCTTGGGAATGATCAGCAGCCATGTTCTCCAGCCATACCATGAAAGAAGCTGGGCCGTAAGGGGAATGAAGCAGAGAATAAGGCCAACAGACAGAAAACAGACAGGACAGAGGGGGTCAGGATGGAGTTTGAGTTCCAGTTGCCCTGGATGCCCTCCCAATCCTCTTCATAGTCTGGATGTTCTACTTATGCTTCAATCACATAACACAGTATCCTTTCCACGATTCATCCTTTCGCTTAAACTAGTTCAAGTAGAGAGGACTGACTAATGCAATATTCCTTGAACCCACTGCACAGTAAAGTAGTTAAGAGATTATTAAAGTCAATGTCAGGGCTACCCCAGAACAAAAAGAATAATCTCTGTGGTCTGGGGCCTGGAATAGTAATTTCAAGAGGTATCCAGGCTATTCTTCCAGATATTTCACTCTGAGGAATCAATCTATCAGGAATATCCACTGCAACAACCAGGTGTGCAGAGATGTATTTTAATCTCCACAAGATTGAAAGATTTCATATAAACTTTTAAAGTTGTAATTATCAGACCGCTAGTGCTACTTTATACCAGTGTATTACCTACAAGATAATATCCTCTCAAAGTCAGATTTTAAGTTTCCTAGTGGAATTTGAATTCCTTAATCCTCTCCCCAACACATACAAATTTATATACAAATTATGTTGTAAATCTTGTAACGTTACAGATTCAGTTAGGTTTTTTCCCCCTGCAAGGATTTGCAAAGCAGCCAAAAATTGGTTTTGTGCCTTTTAGCCCAAGGCCCTCAAAATTATAAAAGGGTTGAGGACAAAGAAGACAGTTCTTTTGAGAGTTGCTCAAGTGTTAATGCAATGTCTAGCTTGATTCCCCTCCCCATTCATTTAAAAGAGACTGAACTGTGTATTCTAGTCTCTGGAGCTCAGAGATCTACACCAAACACATGCCAGCAAAAAAATAAATAAATGTTGACCAGGATATTCTTGGGAATAGCCTATACCCTAAGATTCCTAAAGAGAAGGATGAATGTTTCACATAGAGAATTGACCTATGGCCACTTTAAACTGGTCTTTGCCAGCTCCAGCACTGAAGCCCTTAATAGAGTACATTCCTTAAGGATGGTGGTATACTGGAAACCAGACTGAGGGAAAAATCAAAAGTGGACATCTGGGAAAAGGCATTACCTTTATTAGTGACTCTTAAATCTTAATTATTTGCACCAGAATCATCTGAGGGCTTTCTATACACCACAGCTTGCTGGACACCACCCCTTGAGTTTGATTTAGTAGGTCTGGAGTGAGGGCTGAACTTTGTATTTCTAACAAAAGCCCAAGTGATGCTACTGCTGCTAACCCAAGACTACACTTTGAGAACCACTGGCCTGTATTAAGAGAAATACCAACAGAGATACTCTAACACGAGGCAGGCTCTCCACCAAGACTTTGGCAGTGGGGAGGTTAGAGGGAGGAGAAGAGAAATACAGAAATAAAATCTGTGATCAAAATATGGTGACTTCTTACTCATATAAAGTCAAATCAGCTGGGGTTGGGGGTGAAGTTAATGAAAGGAAGGCCTAATCCTCAGTCACTCAAGGCCCTAACTGAGTGAACCTTTACCATCTTCAAAATGGTAGAGTTATCCTGGGTGTGGCCACCCAGCCAGCAGATGAAAATGGAAGATCATGCAAGAAATTTTTAGGGGGCAGGCCTGAATTATTACCCTCATATTCCGCTGCTAAGAATTGTCACGTGACCTTACACAGCTGCGAGGGGAGCGGGGAACTGTGACCCCCGGCAGGGCAGCCTTATCTAAGCCACGCATCTCAGGGGATACACACTCTCCAGTGAACACCTGTCTCTGTTATGAAACTATGTTCCCACTGCAGGCCTCCAGCTTTAAGCAAATACAAATTTGATTTTTAAAAAAATGTACAGCTAATTACATAAACACTTTTATTACTAAAAGGAACAGTTGCAACTAAAAGTGATCGAAGGACTTATTATATAAATGACTAAAAAAACTCATGGGACCCATCCAGGACAGGGACAAGAGGCCAAGACAGGAGGAGTCAAGAGGACAAATAAAACTGCTGTTTTATAACTCTATGGGGTTCCTCTCTTTTAACATATTATTTTTTAAAGATTAAGCAAATTTTAAGTAAAATATAAATATTTCATAATGCCATACTTATGCAGCATACTTGATATCCTTTATTTATCATTCTTAAAGCAAATGGCCAATCTACTTTTCCAGAGTGAAAGTTTGCTGTTACTAAGTATCATCTTCAACGTTTACTGCAATAGGAATGTTCCACACAATAGCGGTACTTTGCTTTTTAGGTTGATTACGCTTTTAAAAAAAATATTTTATTTATTTATTTTTTAGAGGGGAAATGAGGGAGAAAGAAAGGGAGAGAAACATTGATGTGCAAGAGAAACACCAATCAGTAGCCTCTTGCACAAACTGGGAACCTGGCCCACAACCGAGGCACATGCCCTCACTGGGAATCAAACCAGTGACCTCTCAGTCCACAGGCCAGTGCTCAATCCACTAAGCCACACTAGCCAGAGCTAAATTGATTACTCTTAATGTAGTCATATTCACTTGCCTACGTTTGCTGTATATTACTGCCTGTGACATCTCATAATTGATAAAGTTGGAGAGTGAGGCTCTTCACATAACTCTTAAATCTGTTTTAAGACTCTCCAAGAGCAAATTAACAAATATATGATGCTATTTACTAAAAGGAAAAAAGAAAAACAGCAGAAAAAGAAACATCCTTCACGGTCTTTCATTCATTTCATCAATTAGAACACACAAGGCAGCGTCTTTCTCTATAATCTGGTCTTTCCGATGACCTGAGTTATCTCTTTGTTGTTCATTCTGTCCAGTACAATTGTTGCTATCATCAGCATCCATCAGTTCAGCCTTTACTCTCATTCCTGCTTCTGAATGGGGTAAATCATCAGGCAAAGAAGCCAAGCAATTTTGAATCATCTCAATGACTCTTTCCAGATGCTTCTGAAATCTCTCCGCTGTTTCAAGGCGTTGACGTTTCTGCACCTCCATCATGACCCTCAGGGTCTCTCTTGCTTGATGGGGTCGGTATTCATTTATGAGATGATGCACATGTACAAAAAGCAGCTTAAGATCTTCTAGTTTCTCTTCTCGTTTTATACTCCCAGGGCTCCTTATCAAAATATCTAAGAGGTCTAAGAAATTAATAAGGATAGACATATTGAGTTTTCTCAGTTCTTTCTTGTGATCAAACTGCATAGGATGAAGCCGTTCAATGCCCTGGCTTTCTAAAGGGCGGATGATGAGATCATCACATTGGAACTGGTTGCCAAACATCATATAACTGTCTTTTATTGGAGGTGGAGGCTTGGGAGCTAAGCCTTCCTGAATATTTTCATCCGTGTACTCCTTGATGTACTGCATTGGAGGTGGCGGAAGGGCACTCACTTGCTGTGGCTCACCCATCGTGGAAGATCAAGAACCTACAGAAACAGATCAAAGATTTAGAGTGCCTCTACAAAACAAACCTGTCATACTGCATGCCTACAGACAGAGTATTTTCCTTTTTCCACCCTAGCAGTTTGGGGCCCAGCACAAAATGATCTCCTTAGTTTCTAAAACTATCATTTACAACAGGGAAAGGCTGCCATCCTACTCTAATTATCCAAATACCTTCCTTCTCTACTTGATACTTTCATTAGTATAAAAAAATATGCTGCAGTATGCTTTCATCTATAAAGAAAATCTAGATTCCACACCTCACCAGTTATGCTCTACTTCTCTACTCCTTTCTATAGCCAAACTATCCTTGCTGTCTCCCTATCACATGCACCAGTTTTGTTTTATACTATAGATTGATTTCCAAAAGCAAACACTTAAAACTCTAATTAACACTATGACAAAATTAACATTGTTATATTCCAGACAGCTGGTATCATCTGAGCTGCTTGGATAAAATGATGATCCAATTCCACACCATTTTTTTTCTGCAAGGTACTCTACAAGTTTTCTACTTCTGCTACAGAAATTTCAAACACAAATGTATCTTCTATGGCTACAATAACTTCTATTTCATTTTAAGCTTAGGTACATCATAAAATGATAAGATTCCCATCCAAATGCTCATTTAGACTGATCTTATTAGATTTTCAAGATATAAACCACCACCCAACATCAAAAATGGCAAATATACCCCTATATATACAGGGGATGAAATCAAATCAATTTGTTTTTTTTTTAAGTTTGAACACCCTGTGAGACACAGGGTGTCTCAGAGGACTGCCCTGGGACCTCTTGTCTCTAAATTAGGGATTCACAAACTGGAAAAGGCAAGCAACATAAAGAGTGAAGCACTATGGGGCAGAGATTAGAGTGAACTAGGCACACACATGCCAGATATCAAAATCTCTAGACATTAGTATTCATGTAGGAATGAAGATGAACTGTACCTCAGTTTCTTTAATTTTTCAAGAGAGAGCATAAGCCCAGATTTTTACGGGACATCTCTCAATTTTTAAACATTGCTAATTAATTCCAGAAACTGTCAAGTACTATGAGATCAAAAAGAACTTATCTGCAACAAACTTGCTGGCCACTCGTTTTAGACTTCTCCTTTAAATTCTTCCTTGGGTGATCACAGACAATTCCATAGCTTTTAATACCATTTCTATCAGTGGTTCTCAACCAGGGTCAATTTTACCCCCTAAGGAGACATATGGCAAGTTCTGGAAACATTTTTAATTTTCACAATTGAAGGGGTGCCAGTGGCATCTAATAGGTAGACGCTGGGGACACTGCTGAACACAAACAATGCACAGGACAGCCCTCCACAACAAAGAATTATCCAGCTCAAAATGCCAATATATTCTGTCAGAAAAACCCTGGCCTATGTTTATGACTCTTTACATCTCCAGTCCAGGCCGCCGAACCCCTTCTGGATGTCTCATAAGGTGTTCAAACTTTTTTTTTTAAATTTAGTTCACCCCCTATATATGCATAAAAGCCTAAAACTATTCCTCCCAGTTTCTAATCTTTCCTATCTCAATAAAATGTCCCCATTACCTACCTAGGATTTCAAGCCAGAAACCTAAAGCTTATCTTAGTCAACCTCCTCTCCTCCCCACCACTGTCAAATTTACGAAGTCCTATTGATTCCACACCTTCACTACCTCAAATTCATCAAGGGTGACCGAGTCACTATTCCTTCTTGCGGGAATACAACTGCTTCCCCAGAAATCTTTTTTGCTTTCACTACTGTTCTATATAATGGCCAGTATAATTCTTCTTCTACCACACCCCTTCTCCCTTATAAATCCTAGCAATATTGTCTTCAAGCTAGTATTCTTACACAATTCTTTTACAGCTGCTTCTGCCTTTGGGTCTTCCTGCTTCAGGCACTTGCTTAAAATGCCACCTCTAAAGAAAGAATTTCTCTGATTGTTCATGAAAAGCAGATTCTGCCTTCCGGCAGAAGGCAGAATTCTCTGTACCAGTATCTGATCTGCCTCCCCAACCAGACAACAAGCTGGATGACATTTTCTGACTATCATAGTTCTCACTATGTCCACAACCATGCACACAGGAACTTCATAAATATTTGTTGAACAGCTCCATTCATTTCAAGGGAGCACCAAATCAATGAGAATTTGGAAGTAGGTACAAACATCCTTAATTTTCGTTCACTCCTTCATAAATGTATTGTTTGTTAATAGACGACAATGAGTATCCAGGGATGATTATGAGGATGGGTAATATTTGATGGTATATCATTTGCCAGATACTGTTCTACTCTTCTCATGCTTGAGAGAAATCTGAGAAAAGAAAAGTGCTCTTTCCATTTTAGAGGTGAGGCAACTCAGGCTCAGAAGGGTTGAGCTGCTTGTGCGGTCACAGAGTAAGCAGCAGAGGAAGGATCCAGAGTGTGAACATCTCAAACCCCACACTGTACTACTACCTTTCAAGAGGAAACAAGGAACACTGCCTCCATCCTAGTGCTGCTTGCAATCTATCAAGGAAAAAGCTACAAGTTTTAAGACTACTGCAAAAGACCAATGAATCTGACTACCAAAACTAAATTTCACACAACAGACTGGTGGTTACCAGAGAGGAAGGAGAGTGGGGAAGGACCAAGAGCATCAAGGGTCAAATTCGTAGACTAGACTTTGGGTGATGGGCACACAATGGAGTATACAGAGGTCACGTTATAAAGATGTACACCTAAAACTTACCAATGTCACCCCAATAAATTTAATAAAAACAAATAGGAAAATACATCACAAGCAAAATTAACAGGCGATCCCATTTTTCTGGGGCAAAAATGCTTGCAAGCTAACAAAGGGCAAATACTAGAAATTTCATTCTGACTTTCTAAAAAACATTCTTTGATTCCATCCCCACTAGACGGAAAGCACTATGACTTCAAGAATGGCCTGTCTTGTTCACAACTCTACCTCCAGCACCCTAGGCAAGCCCTAAAAGATCTAGATCTTCTGGATCTTGCTAGATCTTCTGGCAAGTCCACTGAGTGAGTCTTTTTAAAACCTACATTAACAAAGAAAACAGGCACAAGATGGCAAGGAAAATGCAAACACTACATCAGGATGGAAAGATAAGCTAACACACTTTTGCCCTAGCAGAGGTCCCACTCTCCTCTCGCTCCATTTCTTCAGAGTGGTCACCCCAATTTTAGAAGCATGCTTTTGGCAACGCTGGCCCCTCAGGGAAGCCTTCTGGGGTGGAGCACCCCCTCACCTCAGCCCTCGCAGAAGCCACCATCACCACCACCACTTAACATTCTCAGGCGGTAGGCCAAGTCCCCCCAGAGAATCCGGGAAATTCTCATACACAACTGATAGAATAGGAAACAAATACATATCTGGGATTTAATTTGGCAGTATCAAAAATGTTAATGCTGACATTCTTTGAACCAACAGTTCTATTTCTAGAAACTTATCCTATAAAAATATTGGTAGAAATACACACACACAAAATGTGCATATAATACAATGCAGCCATTAAGGAAAAAGAGATGAAAGTGCAGGGGATGAGGGGATTATAAAGTGTGGACTGTCCCACTGACTTACAAGCTTACGACAGCTGCAAAATTATCATCAGCTTTTTAAAAACTAACATCAAATCCGACATGGAAACACAGAGAACGTTCCATTTTCTTCACGCAGATTCCTGCGCCTCACTGGTCTCTCCTCTCTTTACACCCAAACACTGCAGTGCAGACCCCCAAACCAGGAAGGATCTCTGATTAACGACGTGATTACACAAAGCAGGGAATCGGCATCGAGCTGGTGCTTCAGGATAAACGTAGACAGCCCAGGTCTCACCCACTCGAGGCTTTTCTGGTTCTGAGTCCCGTTTTGTGCTTCTCGGCACCACGCCCCTTCCTCTATCGAAGTCGCCCTTTTCCGAAGGCCAACTAAGTAACAGGTACCATCGTTTCATACCCTCTCCTAATCTTCGTAACAATTCTGAGTTAAGCACTATCTTCAATTTCACGTTAGAGCTAAGGATCCCAAGCCTCAGATCTTTGATCTGGTTTTGCCACCAGATCAAAAAAGATCAGTGAACGGCCCGGGGCTAGGAATTCTCAGCCTCGTTCCTTTCAGCGGCAGGGGGCGAGCTCTCTTCGACGTCGACACGGCGAAGCGTCTAATTGCGTAAGAGAAACCCGACACAGTACAGGACTTATGTTTACTCCTCTGTCACTTCTCTAGACCGAACCATTCAAGGCCGCGTTGGTCTTCAGTAAAACCAGCGCCAGGCGTCCCAGCGCGTGGTCCGGGCCTCACCCCAGACACTTCACTCCCTTTGTCCACGGTCAGCGAGGCTGCTGCGACGTCGTTTTAAAGCCCCTCCGGAGGAATCGCGGACGATTACGCTTGGGGTCTACCTCCCTCCCCCGCCCCCTATCAGCCAGCGATTTCAGGGTTGCTCCCTGAGGAGGACGGGCAGGGACGGTGACTGCCAAGGCCACACGGCTTAGGAAACCAGGTGCCCCGACCTCCAGTCCGGCTCGGCCCCCGCACCCGGAGGCAGTCCCGTGCCCGCCGGCTGTCCAACCGGGGCTCCACCGCCGGCGGGCAGGCCGCGCGGAGGGAGACGAACGAGCGGACTCCGCGCCCGGCTTCCCTCTTTCCCATTGTGCCCTGACGACGCAGGGGGGGTCCGGAAAGGGAAAACCTCGCGGAACTGAGCCCCAAAACGTCGCCGCCCACTCACCTCAGCCCCGGGTTTACTCTGGGAGCCGCCTTCCCTGCCACAGGCTAAGCCGACTTCCGGCGCCCTCCTTCGGAAGAAAGCCAATGATGCTGTGTCTTTATTGGCTGGAAGAGCTGTCATTTAACTGAGACAGTCCCACTTGAGACGGCTGGCTCGTTATTACGTCTGCGCACACTTTTTTTCTCCGCCCCCGCCCGGTCCCTCGTAGTTTCGTGGGGCTAGAGGGTTCTGGGAGAGTTAAAAGTGGGCTTGTAACTCAACTTTTTGTTAATAGAAGTACAATAGCAGCTGGTAGCTCCGTCTTCTTTTTTAACCCTTAAAATTAAACAAGGCATCTATCTATATCCCATACATAAAAGTTAGAAAGTAGAGATAAGCAGACATATTTTTTAATTATGTCGACTAACCCCACTGTCAAAAAATTTTTAAAAATGAGATTGGATCCCACATACTATTTAAATACTTTTTAATCTGGAAATTTTTGCGACCGCGATTAGGAATGAATAATATACTCTCAATTTCCATTTCTTGACTATCTAGTTTTTTGTTTAGAAATTCGGAGATATCTGTTCTATTTGCAGGCAACAAGCAAATTAAAAAAATAAATTAGACTGAAAGTTTTCGTTTGAAGGGTATTTCATTAGAAGTGTCATAAATTTGTAAATTCATGGAAAACTTACAAGAGCATGTTGCACGTAAAAGATTGTTATTCTGATTAAAGTTTCAATTTTACCTCTTGAAAACAAGATTCTTTAAGTTTATTTATATAAACTTCTTAGGGAGCATTCCAAAAACGTCAACAAAAGTTTCTGCCACTAGTTTAATGCCAACAGGAGTGTCCAGTATGGGATGTGATGAAAGGAGAAATGGTTGGAGTTAACAGTTTACAAAAGTGGGAGACACGCCCCCACTGGAAATGAAGTGTGTTCCCCCCATTTCAAAGGGCAATCCACTTTTTTAAGAGAAAGTTCCCACCTTAGTCCCTGATAGGTCCATATCTTTGCAAATAAGGAATCCAAATTTGCATAGTCTGATTGGTTCAAGTAGCACTGTCCTGATTGGTCAGAGTTGCATGTTCTGATTGGTTGTTGTGTCTGGTAACTAAAGATGCAAATGAAGATATAGCTGTGCCATTCCCACTGGACAGGGCGGGTCTCGGACGGGTTGGTGTAAAGACTACACCTGGAACCCCTTTGTAAGAGTTGACTGACAGGCAGGAACACAGTACTCGACAGGATTAGCTCAGTCTGTGGCTTTCCCCTGAAATACAGAGTACCACGAGAGGACTTTGTCAGCAATGACTGCTAGACTCTCGTTATGAATTTGTGTCCAGTTAACCACGACGAGGCCTTCTGAGCAGACACTTCCTTCTCAGGGTTCACACAAACATAAAAAAACTAGAGAGAGTAGTGTACTCATCACCCAGCTTCAACAATTGTCTATCCGTAGATATTTCATTTCAACACGCATCTCTAAAAGATAAGGACTCTTATTTTTTCACATATCCACAGAACTCATTTTAAAATAAATTTAAAATTATTTAATATCATCAAATTCAAGTCAGTATTTGGATACTAATCACCTCAGAATCCATCCTATAAATTCCTTCCCTTTGTGACTGGATGATGTATCCTTTTTTTTTTTTTCTTTAATTCAAAAAGATTTTACTTATTTATTTTTAGAGAGAGGGGAAGGGAAAGAGAAAGAGGGAGAGAAACATCAACGTGTGGTTGCCTCTCACATGCCCCCCACTGGGGACCTGGCCAGCAACACAGGCATGTGCCCTGACTGGGAATCAAACTGACAACCCTTTAGTTTGCAGGCCTGCACTCAGTCCACTGAGCTATACCAGCCAGAGCTGACATGTCCTTTAATCATGTTTTAATCTATAGGTTGCTTCCCATCCCAATTTTCCCCCCATTACTTACTTGTTGAAGAAATCCATTCACTTTTGAGCATATTCAATCAGGCTTTTCTCCCTGTTACTGAGACCAAGGAGACCCGCAGGTGTGACCTCAAATGGTCATTTTTAGTCCTCATTGTACTCCACTCTCAGCAGCATTTGGCACATGTGATGATGTCAATTGACTCAGTTCTCACTTCTTAGACTATCATCCAGGTAATAATGGCCAGGTGGTATCCAGGCCCTGACAACACCCACTTTGTACTCAGACCTCCTCATCCAACAGTGTTACACATCTTTACTCAATTGCAAAGGCTCAGATCTAAAGATTCATCTTTTAGTCCTCTTTCTTCCATATGCCACCAAAACTGCCATATTGGCTTCTTGTATTAGTTCTATTTAGAGGTAAGTAAAAGTCCCACATACAGTATAACTAATTCTTACCATCCCCACTCCTATGGTCCTAGTCCATGCTACCACTATCTCCCCTGGACTTCTGAAATAGCTTCCTAAATGGCTTCTTGGCTTCCAATTTTGTCCTTAGCCTACTTGTCAGACTGTCTTAAAATATAAGACAGATATAACCACTCCCCTGCTCAAAAGTCTTCAAGGCATTCATTCTATCACATTTACAAAAAAAATCAAATGTTCTTACAATGGCCCAGATAAAGCCCTACAAAATCTAGTCCTTGGCTTTTTCTCCAGTCATATTTCCTACCATAGTTTTCCCTTGCTCACTCTCCTCCAGCTACAGGCTTTATTTTCCCCCCTCAAAATCACCAAGCATACTCTTACCTCAGGCCACTGCATTTGCCTGGAACTTTCCACAGATATCACATGCCTCACTTCCTCACTTCGTTCAGGTCTTGGGTCAAAGGAGGCCTTTACAAAGGGGTCTTCCCCAATTGCTCTATATAGCACACCCCCAATCATTCTCTTGGGGGATGCCCCAACCCCCTTATTATACATTATCCTTCCTTCAAAGAACTTATCATCCTTTGACGCCATGTCATGTAGTATATTTGTTTATTTATTTTTAGTCTTTCTTCCTCATGAAAATAGTGTTCATGAGTGTAGGGCCTTTGTCTCATTCACTGCTACAAGCTTAGCGCTACAACAGTGCCTGAAATTACCAAGTACTAAATGCACATTTACGGAATAAGTTAAAATGAATATAAACGATCATTTTCAAATTAATTCACAGTGTGACATTGATCAGTCTATTTAGCCAGAGCACCATTGTGTGCAACTATTTTCCTTTTAATTTTCATTATTATTAATACACTGAATAAGCATCCTGGTATATACAGAATGGGGCAAAAGTAGGTTTACAGTTGTTCGCATGGAAAATAATATGATAATGAATAAATAATAATACAAGAGTAAGCTCTGTATTTCACGTACTCAAAACTGTACACACACTTTTGCCCCACCTTGTATGTGTTTGTGCACATGTCTATCTTTTTTCCTTGAGATAACTTTCTAGAAGTGGAAGTACTGGACCCAGAGGTATAGTGTCTTACAGTTAGTGGGCGGATTGAGGCTTCAGTCTAGGACTCTTACCTTTCAGCCTAGTGTTCTTCACAATGAACCACAAGTGGATAGTGGTGTGAAATTCCTAACATGAGAGGGACTGGTAAAAATAAGGCATATAATAACATTTATTTACATAAATGTATTTCCAGAATCTGAATGGAAGTTTTATTACTTAAAGATGCCTTGCATAGCTTAACAAGGAATACATTCATTCATTCAACAAATCTTAAGCATGAATCTGCTGTGCCAGGCACTGTCCTAGAAGGTAAAAACGACAGACAAAGCCTTGCATTCTAATGCAGATACAAAGACAACAGGCAAACAAATAAGAATTTCAGATAGTCGTAAGGGGCTCTGGGAAGGAAATACAAAATAATGCAACAGTTACAGGGGATGAGGATAGCTGCTTTATAAAGCATGAACAGGATAGTCTATTCCCAGAAGGTGACTTGGGAGCTAAGACAGGAGTGACAAAAAGGAGTCAACTGAGCAAAGACCTGGGAGACAGCAAAGAGGCCCAGGCAAAGAGCCCAAGGCTGCCATGATCTTCCCGAGTTAGAGGCAGGAAGGGCGCCTGTGTGCAAAGGGAGTGTGAGAGGAGGGGGGAGGGAGGAAACAGGCAGGGGTACGTGGTGGCTGGCGTCTTGCCTGTTTTAGGAGCTCGACGCAGTATAAGAAACATCATTGTTTATCATTTGAGCCTGTGGCAAGCAGAAATATTCGCACTTTTCCTCTGCCCTCTCGATTTATTTTAAGGTTAGGTTTATTGTGGTATAGTTTATATAAGGTAAAATTAACTTCAGGTGTATAGTTCTATGGATTTTTGATGAATATGTACTGCCGTGTAACCACCACCACCAGAATTAAGATATAGAATATCTCCACCACCCCCAAGCAATTCCTTTTCTGTCCCCTCTGCATTCCTTTTCCTCCCTTCAATCCCAGTCCCTAGTAACCACTGATCTGATTGCTATTTATATGGTTTTGCCTTTTCCAGAATGTCATGTGAATAAAAACAGACAGTATACAGATGTTCTTTCTTGTCTGGCTTCTTTCTTTCACTTAGCATCAAACTTTTGAGTTCCATCAGTATTGTTGCATGTATCAATGGTTTGTTCCTGTTT